CAACCGGCCATTGTACAGACTCCTTATGTTCTTATGTTAGTAAGAACTTAACCAGTCACAGTAAGATGTCCACTGGGAAAAGTTTAAAACATTTATCTTCTACATAATAATTTCAAAGTTCAATAAGTAACATAGAGAACTGTCAGAGTGAGCATTGATGGTGTTAGTAAGTTACTAGTGGTGATAATAAGTTATTGATGGTGTTAGTAAGTTACTAGTGGTGATAATAAGTTATTGATGGTGTTAGTAAGTTACTAGTGGTGATAATAAGTTATTGTGAAGGTAGTAAGAATTATCAACTGCTGGCCCTTAGAACAAGCTTGACCAACACTGACACGCGGTTAGGTACAATAAAGAACAATTAAATGTCACCAGTGCGAGAGAGAGGAGATGACCAACCTGCTAACAAGAGTTAAGACGATAAAGGTTGTCTTGTGTTGACTCACATCACGGCTGCTGCTGGCTGTTACTTTATGTCAAAAAATACCACAACCTTAACCCAAAACAATTTTCTCCTATATTATACATTAAACCTTAAACAGTCTAACGAATTTTATTAGAATAACTTTTTTAGTTATATTTAATTTAATAATAAATGTACTTACTGTAAATATTAGGTATATTGGTTTTGTTCGTGGTGTATTTTAACATTAATCATCTTGTGTGACTTGGTTCTGTTGGCCCTTGTGATCTTCAGGATAATTATCAAACATTTTAACACCTAAATAATTCTGAATAATTTATTTTATTATTAATATTAATATTACTACAGTATGGATAAAATATCAATTATTATATGTTGTATGTTTAACATTATTGTTGGTTATTTTAGTGTTTACTGTATGTGGCCCAGTAGTATATAATCTTATCTTATATTTAGTTGACAATCTTTCTTCCCTTTCTCTTCGCCGCAATGTTGCTTCACCTATCTCCTTTACAGGTCTTTAACGGGCAATGTTCGGTGGATTTAGTATCCTGCGTACCGCCGGCAAGGCCGTGGGCTTGTACCGCTCGTCCTGCCCAGGAAGGATCTCTGTGAGCTTCAAGAATTGCCAAAGAAATAGTTGCTAAGATTCAATGTCACGAAGTATAAGAGGAGATGCATCTGGGAGGTACCAACGGTAAGGAGGCATATCATATGTCCCAACAGGACGAAGAAAATGCATTAATTGAGACAGTGTGAAAATGACCTGGGTGTGTGTTAACACTTGAAGTTCTCGGCCATTGTGAGAAGGTGAATCAGGCAACTAAATTATTAGATAAAGCGCTTCCCCATCTGGAGTACTGTCACCCCATCTGGTCCCCGAGATATGCTAGGACTGTCAGTTGATTGAAAATGTCCAACGGAGGGCCACCAGACTGGTGCCTGCACTTCGGCACCTCAACTACCCTGAGAGATTAGAGCGCCAGAAGTTGCCTAGCCTATACTACAGACGGGCAAGGGGAGACCTAATTGTCCTCTGAGCACCCTCACCAACCAGCTCTCTGCTTGTAACCATGCTGCCTTCCCAGCACCAAGCTGCATTTACATCCAATACAACATGTATACAGAGAGCACATTGTATTTTTGAGTCGAGAACCCAAACAACCTGTTCCACAATACCTTACCTAACAGAGTAAGCGTAACTGCTGTCACTAGAATAACCCTTAACAGACTGTTAAATCATGAAGCAAATCTTACTTTTATCCTGCCTTGGCGATAACTAGGTAAGAATTTAGAACCCACAGAGGCCAGCCAATCTATAGGAAATCAAAGGCATACTGTAGTGTGAATAACTAGACAAAATGGTAATTAGGGCGATTAAAGCCCAGGAGTCAATGTTACCTTGAATGACAATATCCATATTACTCGGGGAACATTTACCCCCTGGGAGATGGGCGGTATAGAGCTGTAGTGTTGTGTTGAGGAAATGACCATGGGCTGACGGTGTGTACTGTACTCGGTGCCGGTAATACAGGGTCAGAGGGCCCCATACACTACTCACCAGTGGCCGAATATTACAATGTCCAACCTAGAACAACTTAGAATAGGCAGCCTGAGGCATCACAAAAATTGTGACCAAGTCCCAGTTGCTCTTTTCATACTTACACACACAATTCAAGGTCTCAATTATCTTTACTTTTGATAACACAATATATATATATATATATATATATATATATATATATATATATATATATATATATATATATATATATATATATATATATATATATATATATATATATATATATATATATATATATATATATATTTTTTTTTTTTTTTTTTTTTTTTTTTTCACTGCTATTGATCTTTTCCTATTTTTGGTTTTTATTATTTATGGTTCTATGTCTATTTTATCATTATTTTGGTAAAGTGTAGAAAAGAGTGACCAGAAGTTGTCTGTTGATTTTCTTCATTTTGCTCCACTTATTGTTTTGATGATTTTAAGTATATTAAGAGACGACAACTGTCGCCATTTTTTGGCTTACCTCGCTGAATCCTCCTCAAGAGATGTTTCCCAAATGATGATGAACGCTTCCACGTATTCCTTCCTCGCCATTGCGATGTACGTATATCAAACTCAATATTAGGATAAGTTGTTTAACACATAATTAATGATGATATTAATGCAGAACCTGACCCAATCAAACCCATAGGTTGGATATGTTAGGTCAGGTTCTATGCATTGTAGCTTCCATTTTGTGTTTAATATCATTGATATTAGTGTGGAAATTTCAACCAATTCGGACAATTCCTTCAGGGGTCACCCTTTCTACACCTTTACCATTATTTTTGTATTTATTATACTTATTATATTTTCGTCCTCAGGCCCCGTGGGCTATACCCGTAAAAAATCTTATTACACTCTTAGGGTCAGTAGATGTTTACTGCACTGTATAGCGTAGTGTGTGTTGAGATAAGCTGATTATACACAACGGGAATCTTTGTTTATTCATATACAATAATTACTTTAATATTTTACAAAGTGAACTGATAACTGCACATATTATCCTCCCTAACACACATACAGTACTGGAGACTTAACGTAATGGTCGACAATTTATTTCTTAAGACTTCTACATATTTATTACCTTATACACAGTGGTAAAGTTTATATCAACCTGACTTACTGGTGTTATAACTGACACAAAACGGAGATAATAAATTTACACAAGCATTAACACACACACACACACACACACACACACACACACACACACACACACACACACACACACACACACACACACACACACACACACACACACACACACACACACTACATAAATTGTAGAACAATAAGTAATAACATTTCTTTCTCTATGTCTACTTTACACACGAAGAGACTTTTGAGAAACACAAACTTACAAAAATATTGTTAATAACTCATGTGTCTCCGCTAACAATAACCTTACTAAACACTTGAGTATTACCACGAGTAATACCTGTTGGAGTATAATGACAAGACGATAATAACATAAGGAGTTTCGCCTCATCCATTGTATACAGTAATGTTTATATCTCAGCCTCATGTTCCTCACACACTCACTGGCTGGCTTCCTCAATACACACTCCAATTAAAACCCTCACATATCTTTCAATATATTATACTTTATGTATTTTTGTCCACAGAGACGGAGAGATAGTTACTATGAAACACTCTCTTGGCCCAAGCTCTCGCACAATACTTTATAAAGGTATCCACGTCAACAACAACTGGTGGTGGTTCATCTGGCAGGAAGTTTCTGACTCACCAACAACACTCACGTCTTCACCATTATGTTCCATCACACACTGTTCGTCTTCCTCTACAAGTCCAGTATCTCACATTTATATTCTGTTCACCTTAAACCTTCCTGAGAGAGGCCGCCGGATTATTGGAAACTCATTTATGTCCGAGTGTTATAATTCAGTTGTTTATTTCCCTTCGAAAAAATATACCAGTATAATTAAATATTGTGATGATGACTTCTAGTGTCTGTGAGATGGTGAGGCAGTGGATAGGCGTCACTTTGAGATGTACTGTAACCCTGGCCACACTACCAGGGGGGCACACACAAGAACACACACGCACACAAACACATACTGACACACACACGGATACACACACGGACACACACACGGACACACATATTATATATAACTATACCAGAACAGCCTTACACTAACCTACACATCCCTGTCTATAGTGAAGATAACATCACAAAAGTTATCTTCACAGTGTAAACGATATAAGGACTACAACTTATTCTTATATACACTATAGTAAGCAAGAGTTAGTGAACCATGGACTTGTGGACAGCCTGTGTGTGTGTGCTTTCTGTTTCAGCTCAGGAGGAGATCGCTGGAGGTGGTGGAGAGGTGTGGGGAGATCGCTGGAGGTGGTGGAGAGGTGTGTAGTGCTGGAGATCGCTGGAGGTGGTGGAGAGGTGTGTAGTGCTGGAGATCGCTGGAGGTGGTGGAGAGGTGTAGTGCTGGAGATCGCTGGAGGTGGTGGAGAGGTGTAGTGCTGGAGGTCGCTGGAGGTGGTGGAGGTGTGTAGTGCTGAGATCGCTGGAGGTGGTGGAGAGGTGTGTAGTGCTGGAGATCGCTGGAGGTGGTGGAGAGGTGTGTAGTGCTGGAGATCGCTGGAGGTGGTGGAGAGGTGTGTAGTGCTGGAGATCGCTGGAGGTGGTGGAGAGGTGTGTAGTGCTGGAGGTCGCTGGAGGTGGTGGAGAGGTGTAGTGCTGGAGGTCGCTGGAGGTGGTGGGAGAGGTGTGTAGTGCTGAGGTCGCTGGAGGTGGTGGGAGAGGTGGTAGAAGGAGGTCGCTGGAGGTAGGAGAGGTGTGTAGTGCTGGAGGTCGCTGGAGGTGGTGGAGAGGTGTGTAGTGCTGGAGGCTGCTGGAGGTGGTGGGAGAGGTGTGTAGTGCTGAGGTCGCTGGAGGTGGTGGAGAGGTGTGTAGTGCTGGAGGTCGCTGGAGGTGGTGGAGAGGTGTGTAGTGCTGGAGGTCGCTGGAGGTGGTGGAGAGGTGTGTAGTGCTGGAGGTCGCTGGAGGTGGTGGAGAGGTGTGTAGTGCTGGAGGTCGCTGGAGGTGGTGGAGAGGTGTGTAGTGCTGGAGGTCGCTGGAGTTCTAGGTGAAGGTAAGGAGGCCCGTGTCAGCAAATGGCAGCAGGAGTGTCAGCAGTAACACCGTCAGCAGGAGGTGAGGTGATTCACTTCCTACCCTCGCTCCTCCTGTCAACGCAACACAGAGTTAACATAACACAACACAACATCATCTACCATACAAGATGAAACACCAAATATTAACAATAGTACAACTGTAGCCTATAACACTTAGGAACAAGAAACACTTTTATGGAAAACAAACTGAAATTTACATAACAGTTTTATGTCAAAAGTTTAACTAAATAAGTTGAAATGACAGTAACTAGTGACAGGAGTAAGTACTGACAGGTAACTAGTGACAGGTGTAAGTACTGACAGTAACTAGTGACAGGAGTAAGTACTGACAGGTAACTAGTGGCAGGTGTAAGTACTGACAGTAACTAGTGACAGAAGTAAGTACTGACAGGTAACTAGTGGCAGGTGTAAGTACTGAGAGTAACTAGTGACAGAAGTAAGTACTGACAGTAACTAGTGGCAGGTGTAAGTACTGACAGTAACTAGTGGCAGGTGTAAGTACTGACAGTAACTAGTGACAGAAGTAAGTACTGACAGGTAACTAGTGACAGGTGTAAGTACTGACAGTAACTAGTGACAGGAGTAAGTACTGACAGGTAACTAGTGACAGGTGTAAGTACTGACAGTAACTAGTGACAGGAGTAAGTACTGACAGGTAACTAGTGGCAGGTGTAAGTACTGACAGTAACTAGTGACAGAAGTAAGTACTGACAGGTAACTAGTGGCAGGTGTAAGTACTGACAGTAACTAGTGACAGGAGTAAGTACTGACAGGTAACTAGTGACAGGTGTAAGTACTGACAGTAACTAGTGACAGAAGTAAGTACTGACAGGTAACTAGTGGCAGGTGTAAGTACTGACAGTAACTAGTGACAGAAGTAAGTACTGACAGGTAACTAGTGACAGGTGTAAGTACTGACAGTAACTAGTGACAGGAGTAAGTACTGACAGGTAACTAGTGGCAGGTGTAAGTACTGACAGTAACTAGTGACAGAAGTAAGTACTGACAGGTAACTAGTGACAGAAGTAAGTACTGACAGGTAACTAGTGACAGGAGTAAGTACTGACAGGTAACTAGTGGCAGGTGTAAGTACTGACAGTAACTAGTGACAGAAGTAAGTACTGACAGGTAACTAGTGACAGGTGTAAGTACTGACAGTAACTAGTGACAGGAGTAAGTACTGACAGGTAACTAGTGGCAGGTGTAAGTACTGACAGTAACTAGTGACAGAAGTAAGTACTGACAGGTAACTAGTGACAGAAGTAAGTACTGACAGGTAACTAGTGACAGGAGTAAGTACTGACAGGTAACTAGTGACAGGAGTAAGTACTGACAGTAACTAGTGACAGAAGTAAGTACTGACAGGTAACTAGTGACAGGAGTAAGTACTGACAGGTAACTAGTGGCAGGTGTAAGTACTGACAGTAACTAGTGACAGAAGTAAGTACTGACAGGTAACTAGTGGCAGGTGTAAGTACTGACAGTAACTAGTGACAGGAGGTACTGACAGGTAACTAGTGACAGGTGGGTACTGACAGTAACTAGTGACAGGAGTAAGTACTGACAGGTAATTAGTGGCAGGTGTAAGTACTGACAGTAACTAGTGACAGAAGGGTACTGACAGGTAACTAGTGACAGGTGGGTACTGACAGTAACTAGTGACAGGAGTAAGTACTGACAGTAACTAGTGACAGGTAGTACTGACAGTAACTAGTGACAGAAGTAAGTACGACAGGTAACTAGTGGCAGGTGTGGGTACTGACAGTAACTAGTGACAGAAGAGTACTGACAGGTAACTAGTGGCAGGTGTGGGTACTGACAGTAACTAGTGACAGAAGTAAGTACTGACAGGTAATAGTGACAGGTGGGTACTGACGTGTAACTAGTGACAGGAGGCACTGACAGGTAACTAGTGACAGGTAAGTACTGACAGTAACTAGTACGGAAGTAAGTACTGACAGGTAACTAGTGGCAGGTGTGGGTACTGACAGTAACTAGTGACAGAAGTAAGTACTGACAGTAACTAGTGACAGAAGTAAGTACTGACAGGTGGCTAGTGGCTTGGTGTAAGTACTGACAGTAAACTGGTGACGGGAAGTGAAAGTACTGACGAATTAACTAATTGGCAGGTGTAAGTACTGACAGTAAACTAGTGACAGGGGAGTAAGTACTGACCCGGGTAACTAGTGGCGGAGTGTAGTACTGACGGTAACTGGCGGCAAGTAAGTACTGACGGGTAACTAATTGGCAGATTGAAAATGCTGACGGTAACTAGTGACGAAGTAAGTACTTGACAGGTGGCTTTCCTGTTGGCGGAGTGTAGTACTGACGGTAACTAGTGACAGAAGTAAGTACTGACAGGTAACTAGTGGCGAGGATGTAAAGTACTGACAGTAACTATTGACAGGAGTAAGTACTGACAGGTAACTGGCGGAAGCAGGTGTAGTACTGACAGTAACTAGTGACAGAAGTAAGTACTGACAGGTAACTTGTGGCAGGTGTGAAAGTACTGACATTAACTAGTGACAGGAGTAAGTACTGACAGGTAACTAGTGACGGAAGGATGCAGTACTGACGGTAATAGTGACAGAATGAAACGACAGGTAACTAGTGGCCAGGTGTAAGTACTGACAGTGACTAGTGAGCAGAGTAAGTACTGACTGGTGACTGAGTGGCGGGTGTGAAGTGCCCCAGGCAGTGAGGCTGGGAGTGAAGTGCTGACAGGTGACAGTGACGGGTGTGAAAATTGCTGACCAGTGACAGTGAGCAGGAGTGAGGTACTGACAGGTAAACTGGTGGCAGGTGTAAGTACTGACGGTAAACTAGTGACAGGGAGTAGAGAGTACTGACAGGTAACTGGTGGCAGGTGTAAGTACTGACCAGTGAAACTGGTGACAGGGGTAAGTACTGACAGGTGACTAGGTGGCGGGTGTAAGTGCTGACAGTGACTGTTGACAGAAGTAAGTACTGACGGGTAACTAGTGGCAGGTGTAGTACTGACGGTAACTAGTGACAGGAGTGAAAGTACTGACAGGTAACTAATGGCGGAATGTAAGTACTGACAGTAACTAGTGACGAAGTAAGTACTGACCCAGGTAACTAGTGGCGGGTGTAAGCTGACGGTAACTAGTGACAGAAGTAAGTACTGACGGGTAACTAGTGGCGAGGTGTAGTGCGAGCAGTGAACCTGAGCAGGGGTAAGTACTGACCCAGGTGACTGGTGGCGGGTGTAAGTACTGACGGTAACTAGTGACAGGAGTAAGAATACTGACAGGTAACTAGTGACGGGTGTAAGTACTGACGAGCAGCTAGTGACGGGAGTAGGCACTGGGCGGGTGACTGGTGGCCAAGGATTGTAGTACTATTGGTAACTGAGTGACGGGAATTGAAGTGCTGACCCGGGTAACTGGTGGCGGGTGTGAAATTGCGGCGGTAACTGGTGACAGGGAGTGAAGTACTGACCCAGGTGACTGGTGGCGGGTGTGAAGTACTGACGGTGACTGGTGACGGAAATCGTACTGACCCCGGGTAACTGGTGGCGGGTGTGGCTGACGGCAACCTGGTGACAGGGTGGTATTTTGACGGAGTGACTGGTGACAGGTGTAAAGGGCTGTGACAGTGACTAGTGACAGAATTAAGTGCTGACGGGTGACTGGTGGCGGGTGTAAGTGCTGAGCGTGACTGGTGACCCAGGGAATTAAGTGCTGACCCCAGGTGAGTGGCGGGTGTGAAGTGCTGACGGTGACTAGTGACGGGGGTAAAGTGCTGACAGGTGACTAATGGCGGGTGTGAAGATACTGACGGTAACTGAGCCCAGGGATGCGTGCGACGGGTAACTAGTGGCAAGGTTAGTACTGACCGGTAACTAGTGACAGAAGTAAGTACTGACGGGTAACTAGTGGCAGGTGTAAGTACTGACGGTAACTAGTGACAGAATGCGTACCCCGACGGGCAACTAGTGGCGAGTACGAAACTGACGGTAACTAGTGACGGGAGTAAGTACTGACAGGTAACCAGTGGCAGGTGTAAAGTACTGACGGTAACTAGTGACAGAATGAGTACTGAGCGGGTGACTGGTGGCTGATTAGCAAGTACTGACGTGACGACAGAATGAGGGTACTGACCCAGGTGGCTTAGTGGCGGGTGTGAGTACTGACAGTAACTAGTGACAGGAGTAGAATACTGACGGGTAACTAGTGACGGGTGTAAGGACTGACGGTAACTGGTGACGGGGAGTAAGTACTGACAGGTAACTGAGTGGCAGGTGAAAGTACTGACAGTAACTGGTGACAGGAGTAGTACAGCAGATGAACTAGTGGCAGGTGTAAGTACTGACGGTAACTAGTGACAGGAGTAAAGTACTGACGGGCTTAGTAGCGAAGGTGTAAGTACTGACGGTAACTAGTGACAGGGTAAGTACTGACCATTAACTGGCAGGTGTAAGTACTGACAGTAACTGTTGACAGAAATGTTAAAGTACTGACGGGGAGTGACTAATTGAGCGGGTGTGAGGTACTGACGGTGACTAATGGTGACGGGGTAGGTAGCGACCCAGGTGACGCTAGTGGCGAGGTGTGAGTACTTGACGGTAAACTAGTGACAGGGAGTGGTACTTGACGGAGTGACTGGTGGCGGGTGTAGAAGTACTGACGGTGACTAGTGACGGGGTAAGTACTGACCGGGTAACTAGTGGCGGGTGTAAGTGCTGACTGATGACTGGTGACAGAAGTAAGTGCTGACCGGGTAACTAGTGAGCAGGTGTAAGTACTGACAGTAACTAGTGACAGAGAGTAAGTACTGACAGGTAACTAGTGGCAGGTGTAAGTACTGACAGTAACTAGTGACAGGAGTAAGTACTGACAGGTAACTAGTGGCAGGTGTGAAGTACTGACAGTAACTAGTGACAGAGGCAATACTGACAGGTAACTAGTGACAGGTGGAAGTAACTACAGGTAATTAGTGACAGGTAACAAGTGACAGAGGTAAGTAAAGACAGGTAATAGGTGACAGAGGTAAGTAACGACAGGTAATTAGTGACAAAGATAAGTAACGACAGGTAATTAGTGACGAGTAAGTAACTACGAGTAATTAGTGACAGGTAACAAGTGACAGAGGTAAATAACGACAGGTAACTAGTGACAAAGGTAAGTAACGACAGGTAAATAGTGACAGGTGTAAGTAACTACAGGTAATTATTGACAGGAGTAAGTAACTACAGGTAATTAGTGACAGGAGTAAGTAACTACAGGTAATTAGTGACAGGAAAGTAACGACAGGTAACTAGTGACAAAGGTAAGTAACGACAGGTAATTAGTGACAGGTGTAAGTAACTACAGGTAATTAGTGACAGGAGTAAGTAACTACAGGTAATTAGTGACAGGAGTAAGTAACTACAGGTAATTAGTGACAGGAAAGTAACGACAGGTAACTAGTGACAAAGGTAAGTAACGACAGGTAATTAGTGACAGGTGTAAGTAATTACAGGTAATTAGTGACATGTGTAAGTAACTACAGGTAATTAGTGACAGGAGTAAGTAACTACAGGTATATGACAGGAAAGTAACGACAGGTAACTAGTGACAAAGGTAAGTAACGACAGGTAATTAGTGACAGGTGTAAGTAACTACAGGTAATTAGTGACAGGAGTAAGTAACTACAGGTAATAGTGACAGGAAAGTAACGACAGGTAACTAGTGACAAATGTAAATAACGACAGGTAATTAGTGACAGGTGTAAGTAACTACAGGTAACTAGTAATAGGACAGGTAACTCACCATAGCCACCATAAGCACCGTAACCTGTGGGGAGAGAACAGGTGACCGTCAGAACAAGAGACAGGTCAGGTCAGGTCAGGTTAGGTACCCACTGGTAACAAGGTGGACTAAGGGTGACGTGGGATCGAACCAGTGACCTTTAGAACAAGAAGTGAGAACTGTATCCACGTACCACACACCTGGTAGCCTCACCCACACACCTGGTAGCCTCACCCACACACCGGGAAGCCTCACCCACACACCTGGTAGACTCCCAAAGTAGATAATGTTGACCCACACACCTGGTAGCCTCACTCACACACGGAGCCTCACCCACACACCTGGTAGACTCCCTAAAGTAGATAATGTTGACCCACACCGGGAAGCCTCACCCACACACCTGGTAGACTCCCTAAAGTATAATGTTGACCCACACACCTGGTAGCCTCACCCACACACCTGGTAGCCTCACCCACACACCGAGACTCAGTGAGATAATGTTGACCTGCCCACACACCTGGTAGCCTCACCCACACACCTGGTAGACTCCCAAAGTAGATAATGTTGACCCACACACCTGGTAGCCTCACCCACACACCTGGTAGCCTCACCCACACACACCTGGTAGACTTCAAGTAGATAATGTTGACCCACACACCGGTAGCCTCACCCACACACCTGGTAGCCTCACCCACACACCAGTAGACTCCCCTAAAGTAGATAATGTTGACCCACACACCTGGTAGCCTCACCCACACACCTGGTAGCCCACCCACACACCTGGTAGACTCCTAAAGTAGATAATGTTGACCCACACCTGGTAGCCTCACCCACACACCTGGTAGACTCCCAAAAGTAGATAATGTTGACTCCACACACCTGGAAGCCTCACCCACACACCTGGTAGACTCCTAAAGTGAGATAATGTTGACCCACACACCTGGTAGACTCCCAAAGTAGATAATGTTGACCACACACCTGGTAGCCTCACCCACACACCTGGTAGACTCCCTAAAGTAGATAATGTTGACCCACACCTGGTAGCCTCACCCACACACCTGGTAGACTCCCTAAAGTAGATAATGTTGACCCACACACCTGGTAGCCTCACCCACACACCTGGTAGACTCTAAAGTAGATAATGTTGACCCACACACCTGGTAGACCCCCTAAAGTAGATAATGTTGACCCACACACCTGGTAGACTCACCCACACACCTGTACCCCCTAAAGTAGATAATGTTGACCCACACCTGGTAGCCTCACCCACACCTGGTAGACTCCCTAAAGTAGATAATGTTGACCCACACACCCAGACTCCCCTAAAGTATAATGTTGACCACACACCTGGTAGCCTCACACCCACACACCTGGTAGACTCCCTAGTAGATAATGTTGACCACACACCTGGTAGCCTCACCCACACACCTGGTAGACTCTCAAAGTAGATAATGTTGACCACACACCTGGTAGACTCACCCACACACCTGGTAGACTCCCAAAGATAATGTTGACCCATACACCTGGTAGACTCACCCACACACCTGGTAGACTCCCCTAAAGTAGATAATGTTGACCCATACACCTGGTAGCCTCACCCACACACCTGGTAGACTTCAAAGTAGATAATGTTGACCCACACACCTGGTAGCCTCACCCACACACCTGGTAGACTCCCAAAGTAGATAATGTTGACCCATACACCTGGTAGACTCACCCACACACCTGGTAGACTCTAAAGTAGATAATGTTGACCCACACACCTGGTAGCCTCACCCACACACCTGGTAGACTCACCCACACACCTGGTAGACTCCCCTAAAGTAGATAATGTTGACCCACACACCTGGTAGACTCCCCTAAAGTAGATAATGTTGACCCACACACCTGGTAGACTCCCCTAAAGTAGATAATGTTGACCCACACACCTGGTAGGCTCTAAAGTGAATAATGTTGACCCACACACCTGGTAGACTCCCTAAAAGTAGATAATGTTGACCCACACACACCTAGTATGGGCCTCCCTAAGTAGATAATGTTGACCCACACACCGGTAGACTCTCTAAAGTAGATAATGTTGACCCACACACCTGGTAGCCTCACCCATACACCTGGTAGACTCACCCACACACCTGGTAGACTCCCCTAAAGTAGATAATGTTGACCCACACACCTGGTAGACTCCCCTAAAGTAGATAATGTTGACCCACACACCTGGTAGACTCCCCTAAAGTAGATAATGTTGACCCACACACCTGGTAGCCTCACCCTACACCTGGTAGACTCACCCACACACCTGGTAGACTCCCCTAAAGTAGATAATGTTGACCCACACACCTGGTAGACTCACCCATACACCTGGTAGACTCACCCACACACCTGGTAGACTCCCCTAAAGTAGATAATGTTGACCCACACACCTGGTAGACTCCCCTAAAGTAGATAATGTTGACCCACACACCTGGTAGCCTCACCCATACACCTGGTAGACTCACCCACACACCTGGTAGACTCCCCTAAAGTAGATAATGTTGACCCACACACCTGGTAGACTCACCTGGGAAGTAGATGATCTTGCGACGCACCTGGTACTCGGTCTCGGGGATAAAGAGTACACACTCAAAGATGGTCTCGTGGCGGAGGGAGCGGTCCTCCAGTACAGCCTCCAGGTAGATGCTGAACCCGTCCTCTCCCTCCACCACCTCCACCTCCGCCTCGCTCACTGCTGCTCTGTAAAACATTGAGGCGTGAGTTAGGTTAGGTTTGGGTTAGGTCAGGTTAGGTTAGGGTAGGTAGTAAGGTGATACTATACAGTCAACCGAGGGAACAACGCAGGGGGACCCTGTTGCAATGGCAATGTACGCAATAGGCCTATCCTTGCTCCAACACACAATAAAATTTGAAACAACTGAGGTCAAGCAAGTGGCGCACGCTGATGACCTTACAGGAACAGGAAAAGTGGAGGACATCAAACAGTGGTGGGACCTGGTAACATCACGAGGCCCACAAATAGGGTACCACCCAAACGCCAGCAAGTCCTTCCTCATTGTGAAGCCAGAACATATGAACGGGCAATGGAGGTGTTTGGTGGAAGTGAGGTCAAAATAACAAAGGAATGCCAAAGACACCTAGGCACAGTAATCGGCACGACGGACTTCAAGACCGAGTACGTAACGGGAAAGGTGAATGGGTGGGTTAGGGAAATGCAAGCTCTGTCTAAGATTGCTAACACAGAGCCACATGCAGCTTTTGCGGCATTCACCCATGGAGTCAAGCATCGCTGGAACTACCTGATGCGCACTGTCCCTGATATCGGACCCCTCCTCCATCCTCTGGAAGAAGCTATCAGTGTCAATTTCATTCCCAAATTAGTGAAACACCCTCACTTAACCCCAGCAGGAAGATCACTCCTTGCACTACCACCGAGACTGGGAGGAATAGGATTGACCAATCCAGAGGAGATTGCTGCCACCGAACATCAAAACTCAGTTAAGCTCACAGCAGCCCTCACGGACCACATAATAGCTCAGAACGCAACAGGGGAGGTGGATACCAGTGAATTTAACAAGATTCGAAGGTCCATTATGACAGAACGACAGCTCGGCTAAAGTGATCAGTTGCAGCCACTGTTGCTGCAAGTACAAGAAAATTCGAAAAAAAAAGTAGCTATAGCGCAGGAGGTGGGCGCCTCTAACTGGTTAACTACATTACCAATAAGGGCAAATGGTTTCAGTCTCAATAAACAAGAATTTACAGATGCCAATGCTCTAAGGTACGGTAGGCCAGTAGAAGGTTTGCCCTCCTAATGTGTGGCTCTTCCTATGACATCAATCGTGCCATGGTGTGCAAGAAAGGGGGCTTCATATGCATGAGGCATGACGAAGTAAGGGATCTCACAGCAAATATGTTGAAGGAAATCTGCCGTGATGTCAGGGTTGAACCGACCATCCTTCCATTGGACGGTGAGATTTTCCATCATAGGACTTCAAACGCATCTAACGAAGCCCGTGTTGACGTCAGTGCTCGAGGATTCTGGACACGTGGACAGCGAGCCTTCTTCGACATCAGGATTTTTTATCCCATGGCACCGTAACTTAGCTCTTGATGCTGCACACAGGAGGAACGAGAACGACAAGATAAGGGCATAGGGGAGAGAATTCAGAACGTTGATCAAGGCAGCTTCACTCCTCTAGTGTTCACAACCTCTGGTGGGATGAGACCAAGTGCAAGAGGCTTCTACGCCAGACTCATGGAGGTGATATCCGAACAGAAGCAGCAGCCCAGAAGTTATGTTGCAGCCTGGATGAGATGTCGACTGTCCTTCTCTCTCCTTCGGTCGGCTTTGCTCTGCCTCAGGGGAACGAGAGCATCGGCCCCAAAGCCGACAACAGTTGCAGATATTGACTGAATGCTGCATAGATCTGCTGCTCAACTAACTCAACACAGCTAGGATAGTTACTTATGTATTAGGATATTTAATAGGAAGGTGATAAAATGGTGGCGAAGGTATGGCTATTGGGGGAGGCTGGAGGTCATATTAAAAAAAAGTGATAAGTGGTGGGAATGATCAACTACTACTCACCTGGTCCGCTTGGAGGCTCCCTGATACAGTCTCAGGTCAGGTTGAGGGTAGATGCCGTGAGCGTCACAGCTGATGTTGACGCTGCCGGCCGTCGGCTTACTGTACGACATGTTCATACTGGTGGCTGGTGCTGCCAGACGTAAACAAACAGTTACTGATGATGAAGTTATTATACAAGATGAAATGTGGAAAATTATATTGAACGAAATAATTATGGATAACCTGAAGAATATCTACTCCAGCTTATTTCACCTAAAGATTAACCATCCTAACCTAACCTAACCTGATCAACCTAACCTAACCTAACCTAACCTAACCTAACCTGACCTGACCTGACCTAACCTAACAAGAAGCAGAATTATTACTATCACTATATCTTAATAGTTGATAACGCCTCAGTCTTACTTACATAACAGTCGTCAAAGGGTTAAATCACAGTCGTCAAAGGGTTAAATACAGTCGTCAAAGGGTTAAATACAGTCGTCAAAGGGTTAAATACAGCCGTCAAAGGGTTAAATACAGTCGTCAAAGGGTTAAATACAGTCGTCAAAGGGTTAAATACAGCCGTCAAAGGGTTAAATACAGTCGTCAAAGGGTTAAATACAGTCGTCAAAGGGTTAAATACAGTCGTCAAAGGGTTAAATACAGTCGTCAAAGGGTTAAATACAGTCGTCAAAGGGTTAAATACAGTCGTCAAAGGGTTAAATACAGTCGTCAAAGGGTTAAATACAGTCGTCAAAGGGTTAAATACAGTCGTCAAAGGGTTAAATACAGTCGTCAAAGGGTTAAATACAGCCGTCAAAGGGTTAAATACAGTCGTCAAAGGGTTAAATACAGTCGTCAAAGGGTTAAATATAGCCGTCAAAGGGTTAAATACAGTCGTCAAAGGGTTAAATATAGCCGTCAAAGGGTTAAATACAGTCGTCAAAGGGTTAAATACAGTCGTCAAAGGGTCAAATACAGCCGTCAAAGGGTGCCCTCAACACATCTCAGACAGCACCTCTCGTCAGCCCTGGGTGTGTCGTGCAGTTCATTACACAAGAACTGATACACACACCACAGCCGGCCCTGTTCTGGTGGTGGTGATTCTTTTCTCACTATGACCATCATCATCATCGTCATCATCATTATCATCATCATCATCAACAACATTCATACTTCCCAAGCTCACCTATGCCTCCCCTACCTGGTCTTCTTCCTCCCTAAATGCCACACAACGTAAACACCTAGAAAAAGTGCAAAAGAGGGCATGCAAGATTATTCTCTCCCCTTCCTACTACACATATCAAGAGGCGCTGACCACATTGACCCTCTCGGCTCTCACTGACCACCACCACGACCTCATCTGCAAATTTGGTGAAAAGCTTCTGCACCATCCTTGCACCGGCTCCTACTACCACCCGAGATCCCTCGTCCGAGATTTGCTGTTTGACACCACAACTGCATCCAGCCCATACGAGCACGAACTGATCGCCATAAGAACAACCCAGTCCCAACCATTGTAAAAATTAATTATCAACAACTCGTAATCAACCAGTGTATTCACTCCCAGCCAATTTTACCTTTTTGCACTGTCACTATGTTGAAATGCCCTGTAGTATGACCTTCTCCCCACCTAGTTATTATATATCATATTTGTATCACTTATGTTACTTGTATATTATATGTCAATCAAGAGGCCCATTCCCTAATTATGCAACTGTATATATTCAGTCTTATGGCTGCCATGCTCTTTCAATAAACCGTTAATTATTATTATTATTATTATTATTATTATTATTATTATTATTATTATTATTATTATTATTACACATACGAGGCAGGAGAGTTCCAAAAAGCTTCATGTACACACGGACGCACTCAGCAGCCATCAACACAGGAAAGTTTCTGTACATTACAACTCATTGTATCCATCGCCGACTTCTGCCTGTCTGTGTGTTGGTCCGCGAGGCAGTATAACACATGATTTATATCGCAACAACTTTATCTCGTCCAGTATGACAGAAAATGAGACATATTAGGGAAGTGAAGAGAGTTTTACTGTGTTCTGTGGAGACTCGCTGAAGTTGTTATTGTTGTGTCACGGATGGTCGGGATAAAGCTTCTTTGTTTACACACAATCAGTTGATGCAGATAACTCCCCTCCCTATGCCATCAACAAAACCACTCTCCTTTCATGTTACAATTTCCATTCTCTAATATACTCTTTTACGACGAGAAATTACAAGGTTGATTTTTTATGAATCCAATAAAGTTAAGAATTGCAGGAAGGAATTGTGTTCTTCTTGTTTCATTACGGCTCAACACACGAGACACTGTGTAAATAATTGTGTTATTATCCCCAGAACAGACAGAGATTGATACCTGGATTACTAGATGTTTTTACGTTAAATATATTTATATCTAATGTTACTTCCAGCCTCAGTTATCTAGTGACTACAGAATGACGTGTGTATTGTGGGAAAATCATCGTAAACACACACACAGACACACACCCACACACACACACCGTACACATACACACACACACACACACACACACACACACATCGTGCACACACACACACACACACACACATCGTGCACACACACACACACCGTACACACTCACTGCAACACACTCACCGTACACACACACATCTCCATCAAAATAATATCATACACACACACACACACACACACACACACACATCGTGCACACACACACACACAGCACACACACACACTGTGCACACACACACACTGTACACACTCACCACACACACACACTGTACACACAATCATCTTCTTGAGGGCTGGTCCTCATGGAAGGCTGGAGACGCGACAGGTGAAGGCCCCGGTGAGGTCGGTGGTTTCTGGTGCAGGATCTCCAAGGCCTGATAAGCCACTGGGAGAGGGTCACGACTGGCGGAAACTGCAGGTTGACCTGACCCTGGAGGAGGTGGTGGGTGGGGTGGGTGGGTGTTACTTAATGTGTTACTGTTACTTATGTTAGCTACTGTTACTCATATGTGTGTGTGTGTGTGTGTGTGTGTGTGTGTGTGTGTGTGTGTGTGTGTGTGTGTGTGTGTGTGTGTGTGTGTGTGTGTGTGTGTGTGTGTGTGTGGTTCCATTGTTATATACATCAACTTCAAGAGCTGTTGTTATCTACATAATAATTTGAATACCTGTGAAACGTAAATATTTAATTTTAATATATGCTGATGCGAGGTGTTTGTGGCAGCCAGGGTTTTAGTATAAAATATATAGTACAGTATATATATAATGGAGTGAGTGAGTGAGATACAGTATTATATTTCAACACCACTTTCCATTACACCATAAATAGAAGCAAAACTCTCTCCAAAGCTCTTTATGACTGTAATACATAAAACAACAACACCATTTACTTTTATCTTCTGGTGTCGTGTTCAAATATTTCATCAACATTCGTGTTAGAAAAACAATAATAATATTTAGTCATTTGCGAACGTGAGTGGTTGTCAAATTAATGTTTACATGAAAGCTCTCTCTCTCTCTGAGTTCTTCAATTCACCTTTGTTATTAAGGTATGAACAAAACTTCGCTACAGCTTAACTTTTTGTAGAACTCAATATAACAGGGCCGGTGTGTGCGGTGGTCGCTGCGTCTCTCGATAAATTAGATTCTTGGGGTAGTTTGTTTACATCCAGGGTGAGGGAATGACATTTTGGTGCCAACTCAATCCCTCAACACCACTGTCTCACCACCACACCTCAGAACAACTGTCTCACCGCCACACCTCAGCACCACTGTCTCACCGCCACACCTCAACACCACTGTCTCACCGCCACCTCAACACCACTGTCTCACTGCTACCAACACCACTGTCTCACTGCCACCCCCAACACCACTGTTCACTGCCACCCCCAACACCACTGTCTCACTGCCACCTCAACACACCACCTGTCTCACCGCCACCCCACCACTGTTCACCGCCACCCTCAACACCACTGTCTCACTGCCACCCTCAACACCACTGTCTCACCGCCACCCCTCAACACCACTGTCTCACCGCCACCCCTCAACACCACTGTCTCACCGCCACCCCTCAACACCACTGTCTCACCGCCACCCCTCAACACCACTGTCTCTTTATTACACCCATAATAATTCCCCCAATTCCCATCAACACCGGAATATACTTTGCAATATAAAATCAACACCATATATACCTACGGTTCGTCGGCTCACTCATGAACATAGTTGATTACCTTTCCTGTGCCCAACTCACCTGCCGGACTTATGATACTAGTACACCTAAATGTTCTCGTTAATGTTATGTTTAACTGATATTAGCTGTTCTTCATCCTGGACACATAACAAGAACAAACTCAATGTTTAACCTTATGTGTCCATATTTAGAGGAAACGTAAAACGGCATACAATCGGCCAATCGAAGACCTCACATGATTGTTACCTGTGGATGTAGCTGCCAGTTTACCTGTGTCACGAAACAAAAACTAAATAGGCCTATACTTGCTCAAAACTAGGCCTATACTTGCTCAAAACTATCTGTACAGTTTTGTGTTAGACAATATGACACAATGGATGAAGGATTTTGACAAACCTACCGAGACAACAGGATTCACAGCGTTCATTCTGAAATTCATCGTCTACCTCCGTAAAGATACTTTCTGAGTGAGTAATTGTACATCTGCTTGAACTGAGCTGTAATGTTAGGTCAAAGGTTAACTCCCGCCAAGTTATAACCAACACTAGTTTATCTTATACATGTAATATTAACCTAGATCTTATAACGGATTATAGTAATAATTTAAGTGAAACATCCTGTCTTAAAAAAAAAGACACAGGTAAGTTAATGAGTTGACAGGTCACAGGTAAGACGGTGACCTTTGTAGGAGGTCAATACAACACTGATCCCCGCCCACGGCACCACTCACCAACACTCTCTCCAACAATGTATCATTTTGTCCTACAACACACACCACACACCACACAACACACAACATACAACACACACCTAACCTAACCTAACCCTTAATTTTATCTAACCTGACTTCACCTGACCTCACCTCTCCTATCCAAACCATTAAGACTGAGACCTTATTCACAGTTATAATGGACCATAATGGTGATGACTGTGTTAAGTCTGGGTCCACTCATCCTTCATGCCTGACAGCAACTGACGTCATCCCTCAAGCTACACTGACGTCATCCTTCACTCCCTCATGAACAGTTCCTAGGCTAACAGTGATCCATTAACAACGTGGAAGGTCTTAGTGATACGGTAACATATATATACTCACTGCCAAAAAAATTAAAAAATTGCGTTGAGAAAATATGACACAGCGGACGAAGGATTATGACAACACTACTGAGACAACAGGAGTCACAGTGTTCATTCTGAGACTCATCGACCCCGAGTACAGAGAGCTTTAGGGGGGTGACAGTAAGGTGGGTCAACGCTACCCTCTGGTGGTCCTTAATGGGGGCAGTTACTCTGGCCTCGGCGTCCATCTCGAGTTCTTACTTGAGAGTCACTTAATTATCTTGTCCTGAGTCGCTGTCGTCTACACACACACACACACACACACACACACACACACACACACACACACAAATGCTTTTTGTGTTGACAAGTCGATAAAAGGAGGTGAGATGGGGGTAGTGGAGGGTGTGTGTGTGTGTGTGTGTGTGTGTGTGTGTGTGTGTGTGTGTGTGTATGTAACATTAACACCAAGATATTATACTGGTCATCTAACATAGTAAACATATAAACTACACCACAAATTTAAACACACACACCTTCAGTACACACACACACCTTCAGTACACCCTACACACCTTCAGTACACCCACACACTACACACACCTTCAGTACACCCACACACTACACACACCTTCAGTACACCCACACACACCCTTCAGTACACCCATAGACTCGGGGTTCTTGCCGGGGATCCACTGGTACACAGCCTCAGGGTCATGGTTAAAGAACCAATTGACGACGATGCCTTCCTTCTCGTAGGGTTCATACCTGTAGTCACAGTCCAGGATCACTGACGACCGTGACCCGTTGTATCACCTCCGGCACCACCAGATCCACGATGTGTAGCCCCCAGCAGCCTGTGAGGTGGGTGAGTAACACAGCCCGCAGAGAGAGAGAGAGAGAATAATAGTGTCAGGTCCAGGCTCCCAAGATGGTGACAAGAATGGTGATGTACAATGGTGGTGATGGTGATGGTAATGACGAGACCAAGTTTATTAATAATTATACGACACCATAATCACAAGACACCATTTCCTCATTACCACATAAATCACAGAGTTCAATTAGCCACGTGATGATGACGTCACCAGGTAAGGCAGGTGGCGTGACGAAACTCTTCATATTATTATTATTATTAATAATGAAGGAGAGGAGGTAAGGTAGGTATTAATGAAGAGTTTTGCCGCCACAACTTCTGATTTCCCCCGAGGCTTCATGTCACTGTTGCCATCAATGATCCTGTCCTACTAGATGCAGTGTTGCCAACTCTTTCGCTCTCTCTAACCCTCCTCCCTCTAACCTCCCCCTAACATGACTCTACCTCCCCCTAACATGACTCTCCTCCCCCTAACACCACTGCTACTACTACTTTGCTGTCACTCGGAATCAAGTATGACGATCATCCAGCTATGATAAAATTACATGAGTTATTAAGGATGTCACCTTCGTTGGTAAGCTCTGAGGTGACTAGAGAATAATGGGACTGACAGACTTGTTCACAGGTGTTGCACATGTGGAGGACTACATCTAGCGCGGAGGACAGCGGCAGCGTCTTTCCGGCGTTGGCGCTTGTCTGACTCGTTATGCAGTCGGGCTAATTCGAAAGTATTGACACCTTCTCGTGTGGTGCTCCTCCAAGCGTTACAGTGTGGAGTAATCGTCTCCCAGGTGAGGGTGGGTGGCACTAGGTTTGTCTTAAGACTATCCTTATACCTTTTCAGTTGCCCGCCAGCGTTACGTTTACTATTCGTTAGGTGACTGTAAAGTACCTGCTTTGGCAATCTACTGTCGTCCATGCGGGTAACATGGCCAGTCCAGCGTAGTTGTTCATGGATAATGGTCGCCTCGATGCTCCTACAGTTGGTGTCAGCGAGAATACTGGCATTACAGTAGTTCTCTTGTCTTCCCAGCCAAAACGGCTAAGGGTCCACCAGAGGGCTTCCCTGTTGACAGAGTCGAAGGCCTTGGTTAGGTCGATAAATGCCATGTACAGGTAACGAAGCTGTTCTCTGCACTTTTCCTGTATCTGGCAGGCAGCAAAGATCATGCCAATGGTGCCACGTGATGGTCTAAAGCCACATTGAGATTCTGAGAGGAAGTTTTCCGCCTCAGGTAGTAGTTTGTTTAAAAGGACTCGGACGATAATCTTGCCAGCTACGGACAGCAGCGAGATCCCGCGGTAGTTGCCACAGCCTGACCGGTCTCCCTTGTTCTAATAAATATTGACAATGGAGGCGTCTTTAAGAGCTTGAGGGATTTCCTCCTTTTCCCATATATTCTCCAGGAGAGAGTGGAGACGGCTGGTAAGCAGAGGTCCTTCTGCTTTATACACCTCGGCTGGGATTCCATCAGGCCCTGAGGCTTTGTTATTTTTCATCTGTTTGATGACAGTAGCTACCTCATCCAGGGATGGAGGACAGCTGAGGCGGGTCAACTCTAGATGCTGAGGGACCTGCTGGGTAGTCAGGATAACTACATCGGTGTTTCGGTTGAGTCGCAAAATGTAGTGCTTTTTCCAGCGCTGAAGGATGCCTTCTTGGTCTTAATTAGGGAGTTACCGTCAGATGAGTGGAGGGGACTGCGCCATGAGTGATTGGCCCATAAAATGTTTTGGTGGAATTGAAAAATTCGCGCATCTTGGGCTGATCTGCAATTTTTTGCTTTTCACATGCTTTATTTTTGACCAGTCGTTCTTTAGATTGCGAAGTTTGCGCTGGGCCACCGCTTTCTTCTTGCAGAAGGTATCAGCTATGGTCCTAGACTGAGGGTTGTTCTGCCAGTCAGTTAAAGTAGCACGTTTATCATCGACGAGTACATTGATTGCCGGGTCACACACACACACACACACACACACACACACACACACACACACACACACACACACACACACATATATCTGTAAAGGACACTCAGCAATATCAATTAGTTCTTATTTCATATTGATTTTCTGTGCAAAAATGACGCCCCACAGGCAACAAAGGCCACCCCTGTCTGCCACGTTACTTCCGCCTCTGGTGACAGCACAACCGGCTGTACAGTGTGAAGTGATGACCCTCAACACACACACACACACACACACACACACACACACACACTTGATGGTTCTCAATAAGAGCTTTTGTACAGATTAGAGTTGGATGGGATAAGGTTAGGTTAGGTTAAGTTTAGGTTAAATTTGGGGGAACACAGTGAGCGGGGTAGAGTGCCAAGTTTCACCACACCTACTGGTCTATAGTGAATGATGGACACTGTATCAGGTGGGCGGGCGCAGATGGTGTGTATGTGTGTGTGTGTGTGTGTGTGTGTGTGTGTGTGTGTGTGTGTGTGTGTGTGTGTGTGTGTGTGTGAGTTCCTTATATTATTGACAGTCGTTCTTCTGCCAGCCTCCCACATCAGCCCTCCCCACACACATCAGCCCCTCCCCAAACACATCAGCCCCTCCCCCACACATCAGCCCCTCCCACACATCAGCCCCCCTCCCAGCCTCCCCCCACATCAGCCCCTCCCCCATACACATCAGCCCCACTATGGTCATTAATTACATAATATCACACACCCACAGCCGGGTTGATTACATAATCACAGCGGTACATTACAGCATTACCAGAGAGAGGGTTCTGTAGCGAATAACACGACCACACACTAGGTGACATGACAGCTGTTATTAATGACGTCATCACACACTAGGTGACATGACAGCTGTTATTAATGACGTCTAGACACTAGGTGACATGACAGCTGTTATTAATGACGTCATCAGACACCCAGGTGACATGACAGCTGTTAAACGTCATCAGACACTAGGTGACATGACAGCTGTTATTAATGACGTATAGACACCGGTGACATGACAGCTGTTATTAATGACGTCATCACACTAGGTGACATGACAGCTGTTATTAATGACGTCATCAGACACTAGGTGACATGACAGCTGTATATGACGTCATCACACACTAGGTGACATGACAGCTGTTATTAATGACGTCATCACACACTAGGTGACATGACAGCTGTTATTAATGACGTCATCACACCTTAGGTTGCATTACAAGTGTATTATGAGGTAATTACAGAGGTATGGTTCATCACATACACAACCTGTAAGGATCAGGTGTTATGTGAGGTGCTGTACACCTTACTTCACAGTGGGTGTAAGGGAGGTACCAGAGGGTGTCAGGGGGTACCAGAGGTGTAAGGGAGGTACTCCAGGGGTACCAGGAGGGTGTCAGAGAATCAAGAGGGTATCAGGTACAAGAGGGTATCAGGGGGGTGCCAGGAGGGTGTCAGAGGTACAAGAGGGTGTCAGGGGTACAGAAGGTGGTGCCAGAAGAGGTGTCAGGGGGTACCAGAGGTGTCGGGGGTACCAGAGGGTGTCAGGGGGGGTGAGGCGTCAAGGGGTCCAGAGGTGTCAGGGGCAGAGGTGTCAGGTACCAGAGGTGTCAGGGGTACCAGAGGGTGTCAGGGGGGTACCAGAGGGTGTCAGGGGGTACCAGGGTGTCAGGGGTACCAAGAGGGTGGGAGGTACCAGAGGGTATCAGGGGTACCAGAGGTGTCAGGGGGTACCGGAGAGGTGTCAGGGTACCAAAGGGTGTCAGGGTACAAGAGGGTGTCAGGGGCAGGGAGGTGTGGAGGTACCAGAGGTGTCAGGGGGGTACTGGGGTGTCAGGGGTACTGGAGGACGTCAGGGGTACCAGGGCGTCAGGGGGTACAGGAGGGTGTCAGGGGTACCAGAGGGTGTCAGGGGGTACTGGAGGTGTCAGGGGTACAGGAGGGTGGGGGGGTACCAGAGGTCAGGTACTAGAGGTGTCCAGGGGTACCAGGGCGTCAGGGGTACATGAGGTGTCAGGGGTACCCAAGGGTGTCAGGGTACTAAAGGGTGTCAGGGGGTACAGGAGGGTGTCAGGGGGTACCAGGGCGTCAGGGGTACAGGAGGGTGTAAGGAGGTACAAAGAGGTGTCAGGGGTACCAGGGGTGTCAGGGGTACTAGGGTGTCAGGGGTACAGGAGGGTGTCAGGGAGGTACAAGGGGTGTCAGGGAGGTACAAGAGGTGTCAGGGGGTACAGGAGGGTGTAAGGGAGCTACCAGAGGTGTCAGGGGTACCAAAGGGTGTCAGGGGTACTAGAGGTGTCAGAGGGTACAAGGGTGTGGGGAGGTACAAGAGGTGTCAGAGGGTACCAGGGTCAGGGGGTACCAGAGGTGTCAGGGGGTACCAGAGGGTGTCAGGGGGTGCTAGGGTGTCAGAGGGTACAAGAGTGTCAGGGGGTACAGGAGGGTGTGGGGAGGTACCAGAGGGTGTAAGGGAGTACCAGAGGTGTCAGGGAGGTGTCAATGGAAGTACCAAGGGTGTCAGGTGCTGTCAGAGAATGTCACTACCCTCACACCTCCTCCTCACCTCCTCACCTTCCTCACCCCTCCACCATTATTAAGTGAAACATTAATGAAAGACCTTTATGCTTCAACAGCTCAGACAAGTGACCATCCAATACCAGCCACAGACACGAGGGAAGGAGAGGAGGAGGAGAGAAGAGGAGGAGAAAGGAAGAGAAGAGGGAGGAGAAGAGGAGGGAGGAGAGAGGAGGACGAGAAGAGGAGAGGAGAAGAGGAGGAGGAGGGAGGAGGAGAAGAGGAGGGAGAGAGGAGGAGGGAGAGGGAGAGGATAAATGAGAAATGGAAGAGCATTGGAATCACGTGATGATTAAATCTAACCCATCTTAACCTAACCTAACCAATAAGAAGACTCACTGTGGTAGTAGCATGATTGAACAACACAGACAGACAGACAGACACACACACACACAGACAGACACAGACAGACAGACACACACAGACACACACACACACACAGACAGACGAC